GCATGGCAGCTAACAACTGTCCTAACGCCAGTTACAGGGAACTCTGACGCCCTCTTCTGACCTCCACAGGCATTGCACGACATGGGTGCACTTATTCACATGCAGTCAATACATTCATACACATAAATAATAAAAAATCAAATTCAGTGGTAGAGAATTTAGTGGTAGAGTACTTGCCTACATGTGTGAGACCCTGGATTCAGTCCCCAGTCCAAAAAAAAAAAGTCACCAAGGCATGGTTTGACACATGCCTTTAGTCCCAGCACTTGGGAGGCAGAGGCAGGTGGATCTCTGAGTTTGAGGCCAGCCTGGTCTCCATAGGGAATCCAGGTTAGCTGTGGCTACAGGGAGACCCTGTCTCATAAAAACTAATAATAATAATTAAAATAATTTTTTCTTTTGCACACTAAGGTAATAGCCAATACCCAAGCATGATTCTAGCCTCAATCAAAAAAAATTTTTTTAAAGTCAATTTAAGCTGGGCATGGTGGCACATGCCTTTGATCCCAGCACTTGGGAGGCAGAGGTAGGTGGATCTCTGTGAGTTTGAGGCCAGCCTGGTCCACATAGCAAGTTCCAGGCCAGCTGGGGCTACAGGGAGACCCTGTCTCAAAAAGACCGAAAAAAAAAAAAAACGTCTGTTTACCAGGAACTCACTCCCTATGTAAGTAATTTAGAACTTTCTGGGGCTGGAGAGATGGCTCAGGGTTAGGAGCACTGGCTAACCCTGCTCTTGCAGACAGATCAGGGTTTGAATCCCAGCACCCACAGGGTGGCTAACAATAGTTCATAACTCCAGTTCCTGTGGATTTGAAGCCCCCTTCTGACCTTCCAGGGCATTGCATGACACTGGTGCACTTCCAGGTTCGATTTCCAGCGCCTTCTTGGAGGCCAACTGGAGGCAAAGATTTTCCTTTAGCGGTTCCACCTCTCTCTTGACCATCTGTTAGAAGGTGAAGCCTTGGAAGTCTCTCCCAGCGGCGGGAATTTTCCATGCAGAAAGCAAATCCCAGAAGACCAGCTTTTCCTGGGGATTTGGGCTTGAACCCTGCACCTAGGTGTTGGCGAGAACATTCGTGATCTGGAAGAGCAAGGACGCCCACGGGGTGGGGTGGCTGGAGGGACGAGTGCAGACTCGCAGCATCTCTGCCCCTGTGCGGTGTTGGGGAGGGGGTGACTTCCCGGGACCGAGGACTCAAGAGGTTCGGCTGGGAAGGTCCCAGCAGGAAAGGCTGACCCTGCTCTGCAGAGCTCATGCCCCACTTTGGCCGCCAGGGGGCGCGCGAGGCCTTCGCTGCGCCGGGCCAAGGAGAAAGAAACCACACCTGCCCTCCGCTTGAGCTATCCTGCGCGTGGGGAGATCCACCTGGCTACAAACCGAGGCTCTGAATCTACCGCAGAAAACGCCAGCACCGGGACAGGGGCTGCCACTGGGTCCCGGGCAAGCTGGGACTGGCTGGACAGGGAGACCCTGAATCGCAGCAAGCTGGGCACAGCTTCCCACTAGGCGTTAGATATGCCTGTGGTTCAG